ACCTCAGAAAGTGCAAACAAGTGCCCACAGTAAGTCATAGGCCGGTTTGCAAGACCTCCTGAGCAGAGGGTTGTTTGTAGTCTTAGAACCAGAAGGAATATTTTCTGTCTCTCCCTCTGTTAGTCTCAAAGGGAGCTGTGATGGCCTAGTTCATAGGGTATTAAGCTGCTAACCCAAAGTCTGCATCTCTCAGACAGTTCAAATCCACCAGCAGCTCTCTAGGAGAAGGGCAGGCAATCACTTCCTGTGCAATTTACAGCCTCAGAAACCTGTTGAGGTGCTTAGCTCTGAATCAGTTCCAACTTCACAGCAGTGAGTTTGAGTTTGGCACTTTTTTGTTAGTCTTAAACAAAGCTCTAAGAAAGAAACAAGAATTCTTTTGAGCAGTTCTACAGTTTTGTAGGGTGTCTGAATTGGTACACCTTTCCTAGACAAGAGTTTGGCAGTGTGTATCACAAGTCTTGGTGGTTTGATAGTAGAACTCCCACCCTGCCCTTGTTGTGTACTGTTGAGTCAGATCCGACTGGCACAGGAGGAGAAAGCCCCACTTTCTCCAGCAGAGCATCTGTTGTATTCAAAGGCGCACCTTCAAGATCATAGTGCAGCTTCTTGTCACTAGGCCACCAGAGCTCCTCTGATGGTAGGATTCTTATCTGGCAAGATAGAGAACTGAGTTTGATTCACAGCTGGTGTACTTCATATGAATCAATATAGCAATGATGTCAGTCTGGAGATTTAGGTGCACCTGATCCAGGCCATAGTCTTTGCAATTACTTACTATGCATCAGAAAGCTGGACAATGACTAGGGATGATAGAGAATTGATGCTTCTGAGCTGTGATGCTGGAGAAGAGTATTGAATATACTATGGACTGCTAGGAGAACAAACAGGTTCAGCCTAGAGAGGGTGAAGCCAGGATGCTCCTTGGAGGCAAGGATTCTGAAGCTTCTTCTGACATACTATGGACATGTTTCAAGGAGGGACCAGTCTTTGTAGAGAAACATCCTGCTTGGGAGGGTGGAGGAACAGCACAGGAAAGGAAGAGCCTGGATGAAATAGATGGATTGATTCAGTGACAGGGGTAATGGGGGTAGGTGTGTGAGAGACAGTGAGATTGGCACAGGATAGAGCAGGGTTTAGGATTATTGTACAGAGGGTCACCATGAGTCTTGGATGACTCAATGACAAATAATAACAGTAACAATGTTTATTCACTTTTGTTATTCTCCTTTTTATTACAAGGAGTCCTGACTGGTGCAATTAATGTTGTCAGCTATTAACCCAAATTTTAGAGGTTCAGGTCCAGCCAGAGGCACCTCAGAGAACTGGGATCCCCTTGAATCAAAATCAGATCATAAGCAACTATTTTTTTAAACAAGAGTAGATCATAAATCAAATTGTCTTTTCATGTACTGATACTCCTTGTATTTGAGTTGTGATAAACCTATTATTTTTAAATTACTTTTTTACTTGCTTGAAGGTTTATAAAGCAAATTAATTTTCCATCCAGCCATTCATATACCTTTTGTTCTAGAACATTAATTTCAATGCCCACAATGTAATCACACTTTCCCCACTATCTCCCTGCAATTCTGATGTCATTAAGCCTTTTGTATCTCTCTGTGTCTTCCTTTTCTTAGGTTATTGTACTGATCATCCCTTCATTGTTTATTGTCTTTTCATTCACCCATGTTTTTTTCCTGTATATCTTTGTACAATGTACTGCATACAACAACAACGACATTTAGCGCCAGGCCCTTATCTCCATTTTGCGTGGAATGGCTGGACTCTGAAAGATGGCGCTCTTGTTTGGGGTGAGGGTCTGTGTGGATTGTTTGGTTGTTTTTTATTTAAGCCTCTTGTTTAGAGTCAACAAGACCTCCTGGAGGGCCCTTGTAATAGTTGGGCCCAAGGGATTATATTTTAATTTCTTGTTACTATATTTTGGAGGAACAGTCTTCTAAGACTTACAACACTCTGGTCAGTTTGGTGTGCTGAGGAAATCTGGGTTTGCTGTGACACTGAAAGGCTGCCAATGGTGGACAGTGTTTGGTGGATCTCAGGTTTGGAAGCAGGAGTGGCATCCATTTCCTAAAACACATGCCTCTGGAAACTCTATGAACTTGGAAAAGTGGCAGTAGTTATGGAAAGGCTTTGCGGCTTTTGTTCATAAGATCGTTATGAGTTGAGTCAGACTCAGCGGCAGTCAACAATGACAACAACAACAACTACATACAAGGTTAACATCAGCACGTAGTTTGCTAACATTCTCAGTTGTTCACCTGCAAATTTTCAATTTTATGATTTCCTTTTGCAAAACATGGCCAGATAAGTCAATTCCAACTCGACAGCAATTAAAGACAGAGACAAATAAAGATCTGATTTATAAAAATAATTATAATAAAAAGCAATGATAATGAGAAAAGAGGCATCAGGCTTAAACATCACAGCTGACATATGACCGTTGTCAGAGCCCCAGCATTAGTTAGGGCCTGCCATGTGTATGTATTAGATCTATTTCCTTTTCAGTGAAATAGCCATTTGGGATGTTGATCTTTTTGTATTTCTTTATAGAAGGAAAATAATCTTACTGGCTAGGTAACATTCTCCCCCTTTGTGGTTTATCTTTTCACTTTCTGACTTGTTTTGACGTGACCAGACGTCCTGTGCATTATCTCCTAAGGACCGTTACATCAGCTCTGTTGCTTATTTTTAAAAGGTCCATATTCTTGAGCTGAACATCCAAAGACTATCTCAGACATCCCCAATTTTCTTTTCCAACTATGACTTCCCTGCCCACATTCACTATTGAACATAATCACCCCCCAGCCCCTCCAGTTACTTGTATTTCAGTTGTCTTTCTTAACCTTTCCCTCTTGCCCACTTCTGCCTGATCCGGGCTCTATAACCAATTCCATTTCCAGCAAGCCTTCCCTGCCCACTCCCAGCAGCAGTGATCTCTCCCATCCCTAGTGACCATCCTATCCCATCTGAACTGCTCACATCCTGTTAGACACCCACGTAAGAACAGGCTTAACCTCGTGCCTCGTCCTAAGCAAAAGTTCAGTGAATATTTACTGACTGTGCTGATGTTACACCAGGAGGCTGAGGAATTTGTTACAAATCCAGCCTTGTGTGTTAGTTAATTTTGTTCATTCGTTAACTTGTTCATCCACCAGTTATTTATTGAGCTGCCGCAGTATGCCAGAGTGGGAATGAGATAGCAACAGACAAGACAAAAAAAAGAGGGTGCTCTGGTGGCCTAGTGGCAAGAAGCTGTGCTTCAATCCTGAAGGCATGTGGCTCAAGGCTACCAGCTATTCCATGGGAGAAGATGGCCAATCTCCTACTGTGGGATTAACTGTTTCTGAAAAGCTGCCGGAGGCTCAGCTATGGGTCGGTTCCAACTCAATAGTACATAACAACAAGGCAGACATAGCTCCTGCCCTCATGAAGCTTCTGTTCATGTAGGGAGATGGGATCTCATTCAAACAAAACGTGACAAAGAATGGAAGGGTCATAAAAGTAATAACCTTGTCAGGCCCAGTGTATCACAAAGATGTAGGCCCCTTATTCAAAATGACGAAAGAACTTTAAGAAGACAACAGTAGAGCCTTTGTCCAGGTGTAGGGCCCATCTTTTTTATGATTATTATTAATTTTAATGAAAGTTTATAGAGACTTTGGATTTCCATTCATTCATTGTTGCACTTTTCTCCCTGCGCACTTCTCTCCCCCAATTTGATCTTCTCTTTGAAAAGTAAAAGAAAAATTCTTTCACTGTTATACAATCCCTCCCCCCAAGTCCACTCCATTGTGTAGCCTCCATTCTGGACTCCTATCATGACAATAATACCTAATCACATATCCCTTTTAGACGGTTCTCTCCCACATCTGTTTCAATGCAGTATACATTATTTATCCCCTCTCTCTCAGTCTCCCCCGCAATCCCTATGTCAGTCCTGTTTTACAATAGTGGCACTATGCAGTATTTGTCCTTTTGTGACTGAGATATTTCACTCAGCGAAATGTCCTCCAAGGTCACCCATTTTTTATAATATTTCATGAGTTCCTTTTTTTCAATACAGCATAGTATTCCATTGTGTGAATATACCACAGCTTCTATATCCATTCATTTTCTGATGGGCTCTTGGTTTGTTTCCAACTCTTTGCTGTTGTGAACAAAGCCACGATAAACATGGATGTGCATATATCTGCTTGGGTGGCAGTTCTGGTTTCTCTAGGATATATTCCCAGTAGTGGTATTGCTGGGTCAAATGGTATTTCTATTTCCATCTTTTTGAGAAAGCACCATACTGCCTTCCATAGTGGTTGCACCATTTTACACTCCCACCAACAGTAAGTAAGGGTTCCAGTTTCTCCACAAGCTCAGGGCCCTTCTAAGCAAGTGACCAGATAGCCTGTTCTCTCTATAAGGCTCTCTGCCCATCACGGGAGCTGTATTTAAAGCACTTGACTGCTAATCAAAAGGGTAGTTCAAACTCCACAGGAGAAAGATGGAGAAGTTTGTTTTCATAAACATTACAGCTTTTGAAACCCTATGGGGCAGTTCTGCTTTGTCTTTCAGGATTGCTGTGGGTTTGCTTTCCTTTTCCATTTGATTTGCTGTCCAATGTGGCATATGTGGGTCAGGGCAGATCTCAGGCATGGTTCGTGAGGTGAGGGTGGGCAAGTTTGCTGTGTGGTCCAGAGTGACTGGATGTCGTGTGATAGCTCCAGCTTGAACCCCAGAGGCTGGTGTATACATTGTTGTTGTGTGCTGTCAAGTTGGCATTGTCTTATAGCTGATCCTCCAGCAGGTTTTCAGAGGCAGTAAATTGCATGGAAAAAGATTGCCTGTCCTTCTCCCATGGTGCAGCAGGTGGATTTGAACCATATGCCTTTGAGATTGCAGTGCAGCTTCTTACCATTAGGTCAACAGAGCGCCCGGGTGTATATATAGACTGCCACATAAAGCTCTTGTTGTGTACTGCCTTTCAGACTGCTTGTCGTATACCACTTTGCAAGTGTTATCCAGGAGATGCTATGGGAAGCAGAGATGCAAAATCCTCGTCAACAATCACCATTTTGGAAGCCCCTGCCCACCTGGAGTTAAAAAATACCTCACCGTTACTTATGCATGTGGTAAGAATGTACCCTTCCCTTGATACTTGAAGGCCCACCTCTGAGGGAGGCAGAGAGCACTAAGGGGTGGGGAGGGACAGCAGACAACATCCCCTCGGAGTTTACAAGGAGCAATCCAAGCAGTTCTACCTCTGAAACTGTCATCCCAGGTCATTACAGCCCTTCCTTTCTATCCATTACCCTTGACTGTGACATTCTCATCAGATAAGCACGAGAATTTTCTTCAGTGAAAATTTGTTTTAAAAGCACTCTTAGCAATCAGATTGGCAGCAAATGGGGAGGTAGGGAAAGAACAAGCAGGTGGAGGTAAAGCTGATGTTACTGAGTCCAGTGATCTTAATCTGGGTTCTTGGGAGGCTCTGAGATTCACTGCTATGTCATGTGAATTCACCCAGCTATCATTTGGCTGCTGTTTAACCTCTCGGTACTGTTTTGAGGCCTGAAATGACTAACTCTTTCTGCTGCCAACAGGTAGTTTATCTACGTCGCCACAGTCTTGAGTCAGAAGATCAAATGCTTACCCTAAATCCCTTGCAATTGTTATATGAACGTGTCACTTTGTTTTCCAGTGTTTTTAAATAATAAAATGAACACCTGACTAATTTAGGTCCCAATTCAATGGAGCTGCTTAGAAACAAATCAAGTTAGTTACTTTCTGAGGGTAATGTGGAGTACCAGTGTGTGATGACATGCCGACTGCATTTAGAAATGAGCTTGAGAATAAAAAGACACTATAAATAAGAATCTCGTACTTATGCTCTTGGAAGCCCTTTTCTCTTGCCAGGCATCCCTAGCCTTTGTTTGGTGTAAACATGTAACTGAGATGTAATTTACAGACCATATAACTCACTCATTAAAGTGTACAATTTTTCGGTTTTGCATATAATCAGTTATGTAATAATCGTCATCATAGTGAATTTCAGAACATTCGCATCACCCAAAAAGAAATCCTGTGTGTTTTTGCAGCCCCGCCCCTCCCCAGTCAGCCATCCCTGCTTTCCAGCCCTGAGGCAACCACTTATCTACTATCCCTCTCGTGGACTGGGCTGTTCTGGACAATTGGTACAAATATTGGATGGAATCTTATAATATGTAGACCTTTCTGAGGTCATCCATACTTTAGCATGTGCCAGTATTCCTGTCTATGACTGAATAGTGTTCCATTGTATCTCTAGCCTTTCATTGCCTGAATTGAAAATTATGACAGCTATAATTTCAATATTGTAATAGGTTCAATTAAATGGTTGCATAAAAGAATTCCCACAACAGTATCAGCTACACTGATATTTAAAAAAGGGTGTTTTTTGGGTGTGTTTGGGGTTTTTAAATTTTCTTTGTTTTTATTTTTATTTTGTATTGTTTGTTTTGGTTTTTCTTTTCAGTCTTGATTCCTGCAGTGATATCTAAGCAGGTCAGCGTAGCATTGAGCATACTATAGCTGAGGTTTTCCTGGAAGCCAACATAAATTGGTGGGCTATTGAATGAAACACACAGCTTTAGCCTGAGAATGAGGTGAACTTTCTCATGTGCTTTCAAGACTGAGATGAAAGCAGCTATGAGGGTTGTGGCTTCTCTTAGCTAATTGTAAAAGGATGAGTGTTCAGCATCTGGAGGTCCACGTCCTGATTTGAGCTTCCCTCTTTCACTCCCACAGCACCTTGTGGGCATCTCCTGTGTGTCGGGGCAATGTCGGGGCAGTGCCAGGTGCTAAAAATTCAGCAGTAAATAAAAGGCAGGATCTAGGACTCTGTTGTTATTCTTAGTACCACTGCGTTGGAACCGACTCATAGCTGACCCTCCGGTGGGTTTTTAGAGGCTGTAAGCCACATGGGAGGAGGTTGCCCATCTTTCTCTCTCAGAGCAGCTGACAGATTTGAACCTCATGCCTTTGGGTTGGCAGCACAATTCCTTACCACTAAGCCTCCAGGGCTTCTTCTATTTGTCCTAGTGGCACCTAATAGGTAAGAGTTAAAGACACATTAAAGACATAAGGAGACACATCTGTTGTTACCAATTGCACTAACTGCTGTTATGGGGGGAAGCAGGTGCTCTAGAGAAGAGAGGAAGCTCTGGGGACATAGTCCAAACGGTGGTGGGCTGTTAATAAAAGGCCTGGGTCTCCAGGGGTTGGAATCCATCAGCAGCTCCAAGGGAAAAGATGGGCGGTCTCTCACATTGAGATTTACAGTCTTGGAAAGCCCACGGAGAGTCACTGTGAGTTGGAACTGAGCTGAGGGCAGTGAGTGAATAAAAAGCATAACAGTCCAAAGAGAGTTCTGGTGGCCTAGTTGGAAGTGGCGCTGCAATCCCAAAGGTGCACGGTTCGAATCCACCAGATGCTCTGCTGGAGAAGGAGGGGCAGTCTCCTCCTGTGCCAGTCAGATCTGACTCCACGATGCACACAAGAAAGGAAGGGGGGGCAGAGAGGATAACAATCCAAAACTCTCACTCATTGCCTTCAATTCTGAACCAACTTATAGTTTATCCTCCACTGGGTTTTCTGAGGCTGCAAATTACATTAGAGGAGCGTGTCCAACTTTCTCCCAAGAATTCAAACTGCCAGAGAGACACCACCTTTGGTTTAGTAGTGCAACTCCCTGTGTGTGGGGAAGAGGCCACCAGAGCACCCTGTAACAGTGGAGAAGAGGCTAATTTCGTTTGAGGGCTGTGGTTTGAGAAGCCATGTCTACCTGGTGCACGTTCGTTCACCTGTGCGTGTGGATGGGTGGACAGACAGTGTGAGTGGAGCAGAGAGTGGGAGGTGAGCAGCCAGGGGGTGCAGAGATGAAGAGCAGGAGGGAGGAGTGGGTGTTGAAGAGGAAGGCGGTGTGATGTTGCCCTGGAAACGGGTCGTGATAGCACGCTGTGGAGGCTTTCATTCATGTAATGATCAGATCTGGGTCTTTATGTGATCATTCCATCTTCAGGATAGAGAATGGACTGGAGCGAGAATAGATGCAGGGGAACTAGTTAGAAAGCAACAAGCTCTCTTACAATTTTTTTAAACTATAGTTGTTACTGTTGATTGCTTTCATGTTGAGCACTACTCATAGCGACCCTATGAACAAAAGGCCTGAAGCGTCTCTACAACTACTGACATTTATCACAGTTCATAGAGTTTCCAGAGGCAAGTTGTTTAGGAAGTGGATGCCACAAGGTTCTAAACCAAAAAGAGGAGGAGATAAAGTGAGAAAAAATGGACGCAAGTTGGAGTTCAGTGAGAAAAGAAGCGGGGTGGGGGTGGGGGGGAGAAAACTAAAAACCAAACGCTGAAACGCAGCTGAAACTGCTGTCTGGTCAGTTCTGACTCAGAACATCTCCCCATTAAGTTCCAGAGGCTGTACATTTGTACAGGAGGAGACTGCTCATCTCCTCCCCAGAACAGCCACTGGATTTGGATTGCTGGCTTTACAATTAGCAGCCTAATCTGTTACACACTACACCATAGAGGAAAAGAAAAAGAAGCCACCAGTAATGATCCCTAGAGGGTTGATTCTGTGGACAGCAAAGCCTTGCTCCTTCCTGCAGTGACGGCCTTCCTCCCCTTTGCTGACCCTCTTCCTTCCCAACCAAATCCAGTCTTGGAATAATGCTCTGCGAACCAGGAGTCTGTGTATCTCGGTGCTTTGAATCTACTAGTGTCTCTGAAGAAGAAAAATGGGCATCTCCTCTCAGTAATATTTATAGTTTAGGAAGCCCCGTGGAAGGTGGCTGAGCAGGAATCAAGTCCATGCCAGTGACTGAGCTGATTTTGGATCCAAGTAAAAGAAAATCATTGACAGCTTTAGACTTTTCTCAGTCTCATAATGTTGGCTGTTCATCTTCTCCCAAGGATTTTCATTTTACTTGATATAACCCATACCTTAGTGTTTGCTCTTCACTAAGTGCATCAAATCCTCTTCACTTCCACCAAGCATGAGAAGATGAGAGAAGGCTTAAAATCAGGACTGCGGAGGCCAGGAAGCCAGGCTGATGAGGGGAAAAGTAACATTATTGAGTAGGATTTGAAAATAAGATTGGGTTCGGGGCCACCAACTGCTCCTCTAGAGAAGGATGGGCAGTCTCTTCCAAACCAACAGAAGGTCAGGTATGGGCCCGTTCTGACTCTAAAAAAACGGGGGGGGGGGGTGAGAAAATAGGATTTTGTGTTCAATGTGGGCTTCTGTGTCACATTTTGGTAATTCTCACAATATTTCAAACTTTTCATAATGCCATTGTATGCATAAGAAATCCATGTGATTAAGAGTTGCCTCCTAGAGCACTGTGCTGAGAAAGATTCTGAGTAAAATCAAGTTTTTTAAATAAGCCCACGTGAATGAAGTATTATAAATTGGACTGTTAACCAAAAGGTCGGCAGTTCAGGTCCACCAGGTGCTCCAAGGGAGTAAAGCCATCTCCTCCTGTAGAGATTTACAGCCTCACAAACCCAATGGAGATTCATCACGCCTTAGATTTCACTCCAAAGTAGATTTGTTTTGATCTTTATTGTATACTTAATAGGCTACAGGGGACCCCAGGCGGCATATTCCGAATGAAGTTGTGCTGCTACCCTCAAAGCAATTCAAATCTACATTAGCTTCTCGGGAGAAAGACAACATTCCATTTACAGTCTCAGAAACCCAATGGACAATCATCTGAGAGCTGATTCTGACTTGACAGCAAAGGGAGAAGGAAAGACTAGGCTACAATATAGTATAATACAGCTTCCCCATGCCCTGAGGAACAAAAACGACCGTGTGGCTCCCTTATTGTGATAATGACTATAGTGTAGTAGTCCGAGACCAAGGTCAAAATACCTCAGGGATATGCCTATGTATTAAATAGATTATGCCCAAGTAGAGTAGATTCTAAATCAAATCACTTCTGAGGTGTAAAAAGAAGAGATCACAGACACACAGGCGCATGCACACACACAGTGCACAGGGTCACACAGTGCAGGAGAAGGGAGGACAGATGTCATGTGAGGATAATCCACAGGCCAAAGAACCAAGGGACAAGCCCCCCAGTGCTAAAGAGAAGCAGCTGACACAGTTAAGACCCCGCTGTAGACATTAGCTCATAAACTCACTCAGACTTTGCTGCCCAGGTGGAACTCACTGATAGCTTTCCCTTCACTGGGCTTTCCGAGGCTGTGAGTTGCTTGAGAAAATGCCCATCTGTTGAGGCGTCAGTGGATTCAAACAGCAGAAAGGCACAGCCTCTGGGTTAGTAAATGCTGCTCCCTCTGGACTCTGCCACCAGAGCTTCCTTGGTTCTGTAAAAGGTAGATCTCTGTTCTTGAGAACCACCCACTTGTGATATTTCTGTTACAGCCGCAGCCGGCAGCTGAGACATGGTACTTATGTCATATGCAGTCAGTACAATCTTTTGAGTGCCTGGTTATTCTGTGGAGCTCATCCTAGAGAGCCCTGAGCTCCTCAGTAAACTCTGGCTTCGTTCTTGAACAGGAAAGCCTCTTGCATTCACAGAGAGCCAAGGCCCTTCTTGGGCCATATTTTGAGAATGAGCCAAGAGACAGACGTGAGAAAGAAGTGCCACTTTTGGCAGGGAACAAGGATGCTCCACAGACTTCCTACTGCCAAGAAATCAAGGGCATCCTTCTCGGAGGCTCAGAAGTGATGGAGAGGCTGCTTAATTAGAAAGCATTTTGTGGCCGCACAGCTGAGCTCCCTCGGGTACTGCCATGGATCAGCTGCGCGCCCGCGGGCAGCCAAGGGCCTTTCCTTGGCATCCTGGACACGGCCGGCTGCCGCTGGCATCTTCACTGTGCCTTCCTGGAAAATGACTGCACTACCAGTGGACATGAAGGCACCAGGGCCTCGTACACGAAGGATTAACAAGCAGGAGTGCTCCCTGGCTGTTGATCCTGAGACACCTCCAGAATTTAGTTATGCTCTCTCAGAATGTGGCTCAAAACATCATACCAGCGTGTCCTGAAAAACCAATTGGTCCTGAAACTGCAGTTGTGAGAAGACAGTTTGTATTGGCTTCACTTCTGTGTCCTATTGTCCCATCTCACAAATATCAGCAAGGCTAGAGAACAAACAAAACCAAGCATTTCTCTGTAGCAAAAATATTAGGGTTTCCTCTCCCCTCCCCCAGCCTGGCACAGTGTGCATGGCCTCCAGGATGCTCACCCGGCCTGTTCTCACATGTGCCATCTGCCCTGCTGGGGAGACCCTGACATCAGGGTGCTGTATCCTGAGAGTCAGCTCAGCAAAACCTTGACCATTTTCTGAAAAGTCCTTTCGTGCTGCCTTACACTCTTCATCCTTCTTTAATACTTTTAAAAATAATCTTACAAAATTGAGCTAACATATTGTCTTTAGAATTCTCTGGCTTATTACGCAGCGATGCAAAGGCCCTGGCTTGCAGAGCTGAGTAGGACTCGTTAGTTTTGAGTTCATCTTGATTTACTCTGACCTGGCGAGTTCATGCTTGTAGTTAACAGTTTTATTGTGGTGTTATTTACATACTTTAAAATGCACCCCTTTTTAAGTGAACTGAGATAGTTTTTAGTATATCTACAAAGTTGTCAATGAGTGGAGTCTTCAATATGGATTGAAGTTCAGCATCAAGAAGACTAAGATTCTCACCACTGGGCTAATTGGCAGCACCGTGATAGATGGTGAAGAGAATAAGGTTGTCAACAATTACAGCTTGTTTGGTTCCACAACCAACACTCGTGGCACCAGCAGTCAGGTTATCAAAAGAAGAATTTCACTGGGAAAATATGCTGTCAGGGACCTCTCCAAAGTACTGAAAAGTAACAATGTCATTCTAGAGATTGAGATGCACCTGATCCAGGCCAGGGTCTCTGCTTTTACTTGTTATGCATCAGAAGGCTGGACAATGACTAAAGATGACAGAAGAATTGATGCCTTTGAATTGTGGTGCTGGAAAAGAGTCTTGAGCATACCACGGACTGCCAAGAAAACAAATAGGGCTGTCTTGGAGAGGGTGAAACCATTCTGCTTCTTGAAGCCAAAGATTTTGAAGCTCCATCTCACATACTTTGGACACATGGCCAGGAGGAACTGGTTCTTGGAGAAGGACATCATGCTTGGAAGGGTGGAGAGACAGTGCAGGAGAGAAAGACCCCAGATGAGATGAATTGATACAGTAACTGGAGTAATGGGGGGAGGTGTGTCAGAGACAATGAGACTGGCTCAGGACAGGGCAGGCTTCATAGCTGTTGTACACAGGGTCACTATGAGTCACAGGCAACTTGATGGCACATAACAACAAGAAGGTGTACAACTATATCACCACCCTTCAATTTTAAATTTTTTCTGTGACTTCCCGAAAATTTCCATTTACAATCATTTTCGACTCCAGCCCCCTCACAATTAATAATCTACTTGCTTTCTCAATAAACTTACTTTATTAGAACATTTCATATAAATAGAATGATACACTATCTTTTGAATCCAGCTTTTTTCACTGAGCATGATTTTGATGCTCTTCCATGTTGTAGCATGTATTAGTCTTTGTTACTTTTAATTGCTAAGCCCATTGGACAGATATGCCACAGTTTGTCCATTTTCCATGTTGTTATTTTTTTGTTACTGTAAAATGGGTCTAAAAGTTCACCTTCCTGTAACATTGGTAACCGCCTAGTTATCCTTTGTGTGTGTGTGTGTTTGTATGTGATGTGGAGTGTCTGTGTGTGTGTGTAGTGTGGAGAGTTGTTGTTACTATTCATGTTATGTGCCGTCCAGTTGCCTGAAACTCCTAGTGACCCTCTGTCCAACAGCTCTGAAGCCTGCTCTGTCCTGAGCCAGACTCACTGACTCTGACACACCAGCCCCTATTGCTGTGGTTACTGTATCAATCCATCTTATCCGGGGTAAGAGTAGGTGTGTGTGTGTGTGTGTGTGTGTGTGTGTGTGATGTGTGTGTGTATGTGTGCTGTGTGTGTGCATATGTGTGTGGTGTAAGGAAGGTGTGGCATATGTATGTGTGTGTGGTATGTGGCTATGAATGTATGTGCGTGTGATTTTATCTGACAGGCAGATGGTGATTCACATGCAGATTTGAAAAATAATTTTTTTTAAAAAAATTCATCTACATTGCATTACAAAATATGTATTTGATGAATACATTTTTAAGAGCTGAAATATTTAAAATATTTTCCTTTTGGTTTTTAGTTCCCAAGAATATCCTCACAGCGATTGATCCAGCTGTCGTTAATCTAGAACCTCCTTTGAAGAAGAGAAATAGCAACTATGGTAATCTTTATGGCTTACTTTGGGCATTTGTCCTTAAGTAAAGTTACAGGTCCCACATGACAATCATTGGACACACTTTTATTAGAATGAAAGAGAATGTCCAGAACTGGGCTGTGTCTCTACTCCTGGATAAAGAGAAAGCTGTGGAATGCTTACAAATAGTGACCAAGATTCATGTTTTGTTTTAAATCACAGTCAGATGAAACCTCCCTTCTATCCCCTCTCATTTCCTAAGAAAAAAATTGCTTTGAAAAAGAGATGTGTACAGAGGTAGACCTGAGGTTTCTGGACTGTCTGATAAGTTGTTAGCAAAGATGCCCCATCACTGAGTCTGAACAGGCCTGACCCGGCCCGATCTGCATCTGCATTCATCTGCCACCTTCTTAGGGTTTTGTTCAACTTTCTTTAAATGAAAATGAACATTTTTATTTTCTTATTAAATATAGATTGTAATTAATATCCTTGAGTTCCTGATAGAAACTGAAATGATTCAGTAGAATAACTAAGATATGGAGCTTGAGTGTTAAGAATTTTGTTCTGTGTTACTTTTGTTCTGTTATATCTTTGCCCATAACTATAAAATGTGTTTGATGTAGAAAACAAAAAGAAATATAAACCAATTTCCATCCCACAGTTTATAGAGAACTGTTGACAATGTTCTTGTATGTTTTTGTCCACCACTCAGCTCTGCATTTCTTAGTCCCACTTCTTCTAAGAAGGCTCCCACCCCAGACTCATCGGGATCCTGGTTAAGGCTCCCCTACTATGACCCACAAAGCTCCAAGTCTCAGATTCACCAGGCACCTGAAACCCGAGCTACTACCCTCATTTTGTCATCAGTTCCACAAAAGTAAATTAATGTATCATCTATCCATAATTCAGTATTCGTGGTGGGCAGTGCTGGCATTCATTCCATGGTTAAAGTGCAAGATGTTAAGTCCCTCAGCGGCTTGCTGCATGGATGCCATTGCCTTGGGATGGGAAGATAAACAGGTTCCTTTCTGCATTGGAGAATCTGAGTAGCAGCTAGCAATCAGCACAAGAAATTGCAGCCAACTCTTTTTCAGAATATCTAAGTCTCTTTTATCACATAATAGTCTCAAGAACTACTTACTAAATATTGTTCATGGATGACTTTTCCATAATCTGATTCAAGGCCCACTTAGTTGATTTGTACAGCTTTTTATTTGTTATGGCAGTCTTAATCTAGAAGCAGCAGGAGTATCTTAGGAGAGATGTACTGTTAACGGCTGTGATTAATCGCTCTTCCATTTTTATAAAACAGGTATAAACTTTGACCCAAGCGAATCCAGGGTTCTGAGAAAAGATGGAGTGATTGTTAGCAACACTCTGGCAGCATTTGCTTACATTAGAGGTAGGTCGATGAAGCTTCATGGAACAATAATGAATTTGCTAATGTCTAACCACTGCAGTGTTTAATGTTAACAAGCAAACTCAAATAACAAAGAAAAATAACTTTATGTGTGACTTGGCAACTGAGGTCTTCTAAGAATCATAGATCCCTGAATTTAGATAGAATTCCACCAGGCTTCCCAAAAGAGAACCACATAAGGAAGTAAGCAGAAAGAGACACACTGTGTAGCAGTGGTGGGGTACTGGTGGTTCAGTGGTAGAATTCTTGCCTTCCTTTTGGTAGACCTGACTTTGGCCCCTGGCCAACACACTTCTCATACAGCCACCAGATGTCCATCACTGGAGGCTCACATGTTGCTGTGATACTGGATAGGTTTCAGCAGAGCATTCACATTAAGACAGACTAAGAAGAAAGGCTTGGCAATCTGCTTCCAAAGAGTCCAGCAGTGACAATGTTATGGATCCCAACAGTTTAACCCACCACTGACTGTGGGGATGGTCAGGGCTTGGGCATAGGGCCTGGCATCGTCATGAGCAGGAGCTGACTTGACGGCCGCTGGCAGCATGGAGGAGTCTAACTCCATAGAAATGATCCCTTTTGAAAACTAGGAATCCAAAAAATGCATTTACCAGGCTAAAATTTGGGAAGGGCATAGGTTTATTTAATCCTAAACCTGACTAGAAGAAAAATAAGCCAGGAGGTGGCTTAGTCAAACACACCAGGTCGTGCCCCGCGAAGGCAGTCATTTTCTGAGTCATCAGTGTTGCTTCTGCTAGTTACCAAGGTTTCCCTTGTTAATCTCCCCCGTGAGGATCAATCAGACTCGGCCCTCTCTCCACAATTACAGAGCCAAGAGGCTTGCAGGCAGGCTGGCGCTGCTGCAGATCCTCCTCAGGGCCAGGATGGTGCACACTATCTTTCTTCACCACCCTCTCGATTTGCTTTAAGACAGGCCGTAGTTTGGCAGGTCACATCGGCAAGTTTTAGCAACGCAGGACTCAGTTCTGGGAGATTAAAACCCCACAGGCATTTTGTAAAATGCACATTAATATAATATGGAACCATGGTCTTCACAATTACTTGCTATGCATCACAGAGCTTGATCATGTCCAAGAATGATAGAATATTTGGTGCCTTTGAGTTGTGGTGCAGGAGAAGAGTCTTAAACATACCATGGAGTACCAAGAAAACAAATAGATCTGCCTTGGAGAGGGAGAACCCAAGTTTCTCACTGGAGGTTAGGATTTTGAAGCTCCATCTCACATACTTTGGGCATATGACCAGGAGAGACTGATCCTTGGAGAAAGACATCATGCTCAAAAGGGTGAAGGGACAGCACAAGAGGGGAAAACCCCAGACGAGATGGATTGATATAGCAATTGGGGCAATGGGAGTAGGTGTGTCAGAGTCATTGAGACTGGCTCAGGACAGGGGAGGCTTCAGGGCTATTGTACATAGGCTTGTTATGATTCACAGGCAACTTGAAAGCACATAACAACAACAACATAATATATAACAGGAATACTATCTGAGGCTTGTTACTTAAGAAGAAGAATGGATTAGAGAGCTAGGTCAATGCTGGAGATTAAGAAGCCAGTATTGGGGTACCCCACCATCTCCCCAAATGTACACTCCCTTTGTTATTCAGAATGTGGACTGGCTTCCCTCTAGGGCTCTTCTCTTCCCCCTCACCTTCCTTTTGCCCATTTCCTGCTCTTCACTCTTACCCTGATAACTATCAAAGTTAAGAAAATTATGTTGACTCCATGAGGGCATTTCCTCACTGAAAGTATCTGAAAGTAGCTCTGATGCAGCAGGGCCACCAAGCACACGTTGGGGACAGAAGGCGAGAACTCAGAATTGTCCTGGGATGGGGAAGCCAGGGGTCAGCTGAGCTGATGACAAATTTTCTCTTCTGACCATTGACCGTTGACATAATCTATGAGATTGTTTCCCTAACAGTAAGGTACCTTCTTAGAGATATCTGAATTTCCATTTATTTTAGTAATTAGACATACTTAAATATGTCATTAAATCTATATATGGACCTGGAAAGTAGATTGAAAGTAGAGAAATGAGAAGGGAGGAGTGTGTGTGTGCGTGCATGCGTGCATGTGTGTACGTAACTGTGTGTTTGAGATGTTCTTAGGAAGGTAGTTTATGAGCTAGTTGAAGAAAGGCCACTTTCTCTTTGGAAATTGGGCCCCTAAAGTGACATCCTTGTACAACCCTGCCTCAGGGCTTGACATCTCCTAAAGGCATTGTTAAATTTCTGAAAGTTAAAACTATCACGTTGGGGCCTAAGGTAGGTCAAGCCATGGTCCTTTGCAGCCGTGTAAAATGCATACAGAAATATATGCATACAAAAGGTAGACAATGAAAAAAAGAAGACAGACCAAGAATTAATACCACTGAACGGTGATGTTAACAAAGGATATGGAATATACAAAAAAAGAAAACAACCCAAAAATTAGAAAAAAAACCCCAAATAAATCAATCCTAGAAGAAATACAGCCAGAAGGTCCTTCTTGTTGTTATTGTTGTTGTTGTCTGCCATCAATTCACAGCTGACCTTCCAGCAGGTTTTCAGAGGCAGCAAATCGCCTGGGAGGAGATTGCCCATCCTTCTCCCATGGAGCAGCTGGTGGATTCAAACCACATACCTTTAGGATTTCAGTTCAGTAGGCCACCAGAGAGGTGAGATTATTAAGACCTCAGTTCTCATGTTTTGGGCACAGTCATTAGAAAAAGGCCTCATGCAGAAGGTCATCCAGTAGAGGGTCAGCAGGAATGAGGGAAGCCCTCGATGAGATGGGTTGACACAGCCCAGCAACAGTGGGTCCAGGTGCACCAGCACTGACGAGGAGGGCACAGGGCCTGGTTCTCTTCCACTTAAGATGGCACAGAGTCAGAGCTGTCTCAATGGCAACTTAGAACAACAGATTTCACTTAGTGTCATGCTGGCGTCTGGCTTTCTGTATTCGTCTCATATGTGCCTGCAGGCTGGTCTTAGGAGGCTTGATTTCTTGTCACTGTCTCTGCTCCCTTGGGACTGCAGCGAGCGTGTGGTTTTGACAACTGGCAGACTTTGCTGTGGACTTCCGCCAGGCATGAGGTGACCACACACCATGGGGAGAGGAGGCAGAGCAGCAGGGTGGGTGTGCAGCTTCTCCTGACTCAGGGACGTGTCATATAAAAAAGGAAACCTTGAGATGAAAGAACAGTAGGACATCAGACAAGCCTTTATTGAAACAGAAGTCTAAAAACACATTCCAGGACAGAGTTCCGTGTCAGTGAGGACAATTGGAAATCAGTACCACCTTGTCACATAGGTTTAAATTCCCCAAGTTCCCACGGTCTCTGATCTTTGGCTCTCTGACAAAAAGTTCAATTATCATCACCTCCCTAAGTGCTGTCAGACTCCGGGCTCTCACCTGGGGGGCCCTCTGACCCTCGCTGCCGCCTGGTTCCTTTCATAGGAACCAGTGCCCAGGAGGTGGGACAGTGGGGGGGATGCGATTGTGTGAGAATAGTCTCGTTGACTCAATGACTCCTAGTAAGAGTCAGAATTGACTCAGGGCAGCGGGTTTAAGTTTAAGCTGGAACTTGTGTTGGGCACAGAGCCGGGAACTAAGCATTGTACCAGGGCTGAATCAGTACTTACTGACCACCATTCTGAGACACTGTAGATAAAATACTAGTCAAATGAAAAGCCCTTTTTCTCTAGATAGAAAAAATTACAGAGGTTTGACTGACAGGGATGTGAAGGGATGGAGAGGGAACAGAGATTAACGAATGGGTGGGTAAAGGAAAGGGAATGTACAGAAAGGTTTGGACAAGATATTGTAAATGTGGTTGTTAGGTGCTGTTCAGTCAAGCACGATGCATAGCAAAATAGAACATGCCCAGAACAACAGAGCTGAGCCCGCTCATTTCCTGTGCAATCCTTACCATCTCTGACACAGTCAGACCCACATCTGCCATCACTGTGTCAGTTCATTTGGTTAAGGGTCTTCTCTTTTTCTGAACCTCTGTCTTTCCAAGCATGATGTCCCTTTCCGAGGAATAGCCTCTCCTAACATCATGCCCAAAGTGTGTGAGACGAAGCTTCACCATCGTTGCCTCCAAGGAGCATTCTGGCTGCACCTTTTCCAACAGTCCATGAGCTATTCAGTACTCTTCTCCAACACAACAATTGAAAGGCATCAATTCTTATTCCACGAACCTTTAGGGTTTTAGTTTAACTTTTGGCTACTAGGCCACCAGAGAGATGAGGATATTGAGACCTCAGTTCTCATGCTTTGGACGCATCATCAATAAAGACCATTCATTAGAACAAGGCATCATGTTTGGTCTGGTAGAGGGTCAGCAGGAATGAGGGAAGCCCTCGATGAGATGGGTTGACACAGCCCAGCAACAGTGGGTCCAGGCGCACCAGCATTGATGAGGAGGGCACAGGGCCTGGTTCTCTTCCACTTAAGATGGCGCAGAGTCAGAGCTGTCTCGATGGCAACTTACAACAACAGATTCCACTTAGTGTCATGCTGGCGTCTGGCTTTCTGTATTCATCTCACATGTGCCTGGAGGCTGCTAATCCTTTTTCATTGTCCAGCTCTGAGATGCATAGCAAGTGATTGAAAAGATCATAGCCCAAATCAGATACAGCTTCTTAGACATCACTGCTCCTCAGTAACTTGGAGAGGTCCCTGACAGCAACCTTTCTTGTTGCAACACATCTGGTTTCCTGACTGCTGATGCCAAGGGTGTTGATTGTGTTGTAATTCATGTTATAAAATGAAACACCTATAAATGAAAACCAAGGAAAGTTCTTTTTACTTTAGCCTGTGATGAGTAAAGACTAAATTTAGCACAGTAATAACAACCATAGGAAAATATAGACATTCTTTTTAACAATAAGGAGAATAATACCTTCATTTTTCTCTGGATATATAGTAGAAAAAGGGATCACTGATACCCAAGGTGGTAAGATTGACTGAAGA